CTTCTTTCTTAATGGCGATTACTGCCAGTCGGCCTTAAGAAGATTCACATTTATTTTTATATTGAGTAAAAATTAAATTTAAATAGTGCAGTTTAAAATACGAGAAAATATTATTATTAATTTTGACAGGTTTTATATCAATTTTTAGTAAATGTAATCGATAGATTGACCTCGCCAAAATTATCGTCGATTGTCATTCCCCAGCCGTCTTTGATGCCGTTTTTTTCGATCATACGGTATTTAATAAAAAAATAAATTATTAAATTTTAATTAACTTACAGGTAAACATTTAGATACATTACAAATCTTTCTAATATTTGACTGTACAAAGGTTCTAGATTTGACCCTCGAAACAAAAAAGCGTTAGCTTTTTAGAATATAAAGCTGTAAAAAGGTTTAAAACGGCACTGATTAATGAATGTGTGCTGTTGTTGGTTTTATAGTATTTTTATTGTTCCGTTCCGTTGTGTGTTTTAACAATTTATATGCCTGTAGTATTGTAAAAACATTCACATATGTTCCCAATATTTATTATTTGGTTGATTACTGTTTCTATGAAATATATTACTATAGTACTCTATCAGAGCTGCAAGCTCACAGTAAACTTAAGTCTTTTTTTGACTTAAATCATTTTAAAGACTTAACTCATTTGATTTTAAGTCAATTTTTTAAAGCTGACTTAAGACTTAAAGTTTAAGTCTTTTCCAAAATGATTTGTGATTTAAACCTTTATTCCGAAATAGAAAAAGATTTAAGTCTTTTTAGAAAAGATTTAAGATCAGTTTCAGATTTAAGATCATGTTCAGTGCTCTAAGATCAGTTTCTAAGGAACTTAACTCATAAACCTCTAGAATAGCCTATTATGCCCTTTTTGGCTCACATCTTCGTTATGCCCTTCCATTCTGGTGTACTTGCTGTGCAATAAAATTTGATCGTATTTTCAAACTTCAAAAGAGAGCAGTTCGATATTTATTGGTACTGAACAGTAGAACTCACTGCCAGAATTTCTTTAAAAATTTCAAAATACTGACTCTTCTTTCTTTATTAATTTTTGAATCCGTTTGCTTAATCCACAAGCACATATCTGTTATTCCCGAAAGGCCATCTCACAACTATCCACTTAGGATTGCGGAGACGATCTTTATCTGCCAACCCCGAGCTTAGAACTAGTTAAAAGGCTCAATACTGTACAATGGCAAAAAAATGTACAATCATCTGCTTTTGAATATCAAGTCGTTTTCATTCTTTCCCGCATTTCGCAAAGCTCTGAAATCATACTTACTGGAGAGAGCCCTATATGTGGTAAACGACTTTTTTGTTAATGTTTAATCATGAACAATCTTGGATATTAAAATTTTGATCATCTCACACACTGGTCAAAAGTCGAGTATTTAATATTTTGTAACTCTTAAAATTATATCCATTTACAGTTTTCCCATTGTAAAATTTCATTGATGCACCTTTTCTTTGTGTTCTGCAATTGTCCATGTATGTTCTATTTGTAACTTTAATGACTTAAATTTTTTTGATTTGTATTGTATATTTTTTATTATCTGTATATTTCTTGTGCTTCTGTTTGTTTTGTAAATGCTTTGTCGATGAAGCTATTTTGGCTTTTTGCACAATAAACCGTTGTTTATTATTTATTTATTATTGTTAAGTTTTTTTTAGAAAAGACTCAAGTCATTAAAAAGGTCTTTTTAAAAAAGATTTAAGTCAGATTTTTATATATTTTTATGATACATTTTTAACAGTAGCATTTCTTTTTAAATTGGTTGGCAGCAGCCAGAAAGCAGATAAAAAACAATACTGTGACAATACTCAATACCGCTAGTAAAAATGTTAGTTCTTCGGAACCGGTTTTGGTTATTTGTCGTGACGCGTGCGTAGTGGGTCTGTTGTCTTTCATGTGAATCCCTGAATCCGTTATGTAGCCCAAAAGACGAACTAAAGAAATTGATCTGGAATATATTGAAGAGTACCTTAAAACCCTCCAGTCCTTTGCTTATACCATCGACATATTACATAGTGATCAAAACCTGTCTAAACTGTAATAGATACATTATACATATATAATGTACTACAAAATCGGTTAAATTTTATAAAAAAAAATATTTTTTTGTTTGCAGTTGTTCTGAAAATTAACCGTTTTATTTTATATGGTTTTAGTCTCATTTGTACCTACAACAAATTAGTAATGTAGTTAATATAAGGAAATCGACAATCGGTAGTAAAATAAAATTTATAAATTTATATTAACATTAAAAAATAGGTACTTAAAATTGAATTCTGGTTGTCTTGACTTGAGGGTAATTATATTGATTTGACTCATTTTACCGACTTAACTTACAGATTATCGTGATTTAAGTAAAAAATATAGACTTAGGTCATAAAAACGACTTAAATTACGTTATATTAAGTCTTTACAAAATTGATTTGACTTGAAATAAAATGATGTAAGTCAAAGACTTAAGACTTAAGAGTCCATTTCAAAAGTAGCAAAACAAGCGTTCGGCATTTAACATTTTATGTGAAACTGACTAGGTATTTTTACATAAATGGAGAAGGAAATTAAAGATAAAGGATTATATTATATCCGTATTGTAGCACATTTTTAGACAACTTCTTTATTTTTAAGATTTTGATGGTCAAACATCAACAAAATATTCCTTATGTTTGGACTAAATTTTCTCGAAAATAAAGACATAATTTAAAATTCCGTTACAATACGGAAATAGATTGAAGTTTTGTGATTACAGTGATATATAATTTATATGGTTTTGTAACAAATTGCTCGCTATTTCATGGCAAATGCTGAAGCTCTGCAAACCTTAATCAAGCCTTAATCAAAGCACGTGTGTTTGGAATTTTGGGTGTGGCTTAATACGACAGGATCGGGCATGGCATAACGGCCAGGGTAATTTTTTTTCAGAAAATTCAAAAACACTGGGACAACTTTTGACCCAAAAATGATTGCAAAATCTTCAACCCTTTAAGCGAGGGTGTCATCCCCCAACTTTTTTCAAATGGGAAGGGGGGTCAAGTGGGGCTGCAATGAAAAGATCTTTCTATTCTCTATACTTTCCCGCTTCGTTTTTGAAAATCGGTCGAGTCATTGAGAAAATATGAAGGATTGAAATTTGAAAATAGTATTTAAACATTTATCAGAGTAGCGATAAGGATAAATTCCTTCGAACAATTTACAATTTTTTTCTTATTATTTCTAGATGTTTACGCATTTTTTCCCTTGCCAGAAGGTTGAACGATCAGGTGCGGTAGTTGCTAGATAGCTGTTCTGTGACTTGTGCGTTGAAGCGGTTGAAGTTCTTTTCAATATCGTTAAACTTTTTAACAATTATGGTGTACTCACTTGCAGAAAGAGTGGAAATAATCGAACTTTATTTTAAAAATAATGAATGTGGCAATCGGGCTGCGCAGATATTCAATGAACGCCATCCTGACAAACACCTTTATGGCAAAATTGTTCGCGAGTTAGTAGCAAAATTTCAGGAAACTGGTTCCGTTATGAATTAAAAGAGGCAGAGAGAAAATCCTGTAGTAAATGAAGCTATGGAGGTATTCGTATTGGGCGAAGTTGCCATGGATAGTACGCTGAGTACAAGAAAATTAACCAATGAGACCGGCGTGAATCGTACAAGTGTCCAAAGGATATTAAAAAAACACCAGTTCCACCCGTACAAAATTCAGTTGGTACAAGAACCCAACGAAGACGATTTTGATCGTCGTTTGCAGTTTTGTGAAACTATGAGTGAACGAGTGGCAAATGATAATAATTTCCTATTTAATGTGTGTTTTTCGGATGAGTAGTTAATCGGCACAACTGTCGATACTGGGCTCAGGACAACCCCAGGGTTTTTCACGAGAAGCACACCCAAAACCCTCAGAAATTGAACGTGTCGACTGGTATTTTTGGAAATTCTATTGTGGGTCCTTTTTTCCTTCCTGGAAATCTAACAGGTGATATGTACTTGGATTTACTGGAAAATACCATCGACCCAGTCCTAACTGACATCATAGAGAACAATCCTGGATACGTTGAAGCGGAACTAATATTTCAACAAGACGGTGCGCCTCCACATTACTCTCAAAATGTGCGTAATTATTTAAACAATAACTTTCCCGGTCGGTGGATAGGAAGAAGGGGTGCAGTTGAGTGACCTCCCCGGTCACCTGACTTGTCTCCTTTAGAATTTTTTCTATGGGGACACATAAAAAGTAAAGTGTATAGCACTCCACCCGCCTCATTAGAAGTCCTGCGAAGACGAATTATTGATGCTTGTCGCGAAGTGACCCCGCAAGTTCTTCAGAATGTTCGAGAACGGTTTGAAAATAATTTGTATTACTGTATGGAGGTTGGCGGGCAACATTTTCAGCATTTGCTTCATTAATTAGGTAAGTTTTTTTTAATTAATTCAATTTATGCGTTTTTTTTGCAAAAAATACTTCTCAAATTTCAATCCTTCATATTTTCAAAATGACTCGACCGATTTTTAAAAACTAAGCGGAGAAATATAGAGAATAGAAAGCCCTTTTCATTGCGGCCCCACTTGACCCCCCTTCCCATTTGAAAAAAGTTGGGGGATGACACCCTCGCTTAGAGGGTTGAAGATTTTGCAATCATTTTTAGGGCGAAAGTTGTCCCCCTCGCAAACAAAATTGACGTGTTGACGTGTGATTTTTTGAAAAAACAAATACCCTGGCCGTTATGCCTTGCAGAACGTTTTCGATGGGCCACCCTGTATATTTCCTTCAGTCACACACCCGCTTTACACGACTCCTGAGAGCGACCCGAAAGTACAGCGTAATAGACTCTTAAGTCATTTGGACTTTATGTTGAATTTGACTTAAAATTTAGATTATTTTGATTCTAGAAATGACTTAAATCTTTTTAAAACTGACTTGTTGCAACTCTAAGTACTATAGTGTACTGTATACGCGCTAATGTAATGATACTTTAATGGATATTTTCTTTGTTTCAGGGCCACGTTGTTACTAGTTCCTCTACTAGGATTAAATTTTCTCCTTACACCATTTAGACCACAAGGTGGGCATATGTGGGAGAATATATACGATATAGTTTCGGCAATAACAACTTCATTTCAGGTAAGATCTGTACGATCAAAATAAGCAAGCTTGCTTTGACTTTAACAGTAAAAATATAGTAGTGTGATTTCACATAAGAATTATAATTCTGGCATCATACAAAGCACACTTGATCATATACTTTTCTGATCATCTTGTACTACCTATTAAATTATTACTAACTTTTTTGTAACATTATTAAATATTCCGTTCTGTATAGCAGAAAAATTTAATTTTCTTTCTGATAAAACTTTTTTCTTCATAAAAGTTAATTTAAACTTTGTCAAAGTTTTATTAAAACTTTCAGATATTAATAAACATAATTCAAGGTTATTCCGACATATTTATGGTTTTTAGATAGACACACTGTTGGGAGGATTTTTTTTATTTATATTATGCAAATCTAATCTTGATATTTCTCGGTAAAATATAGTCTTGGTGCATTCTCCGCCAGTGCTGCCACCATCGGAGAATATCGTAAACAATCGGTATATACAAATACGCGGGTTTAAATAGAGAGTAGGTACACGAAAATAAAATTATATAATTAATTACTCTGAAAGTGGTAGGAAGTATAATTTGTGAAAGTTCTAAAAATAAAATAAAAAGTAAATATTTTGATATCTTCAGGTCTTGTATTATAATTTATTATTGAAGCTAATAAAACTTGTTAGATGACTTAAACTACGGTAGCGAGCATAGTTTGACGCACCGGTTTTGCTACTGGGGACATAACTTCTATTTCAGCTATAACGAAATTTTTTGAAGGTACATAATTATAATTTTAGAAGATCTTCATAAAAAATGTAAGCACTAGTTGATTAAAAAGAGAGTATACCATTAATATTGCGCGAATTATATTTCATCCTCTCATAGTATATGTAATATAACTATAATAATTTTTTGATTATGCAATGGGCATTTTGTTTACTCACTTGTTTTATCAAACTGCTTGAATCCATTTTTGCTTTTGATGAAATCGGTGTGAGAAGCTGTGAAGTTGTAAAATGTTGATTCGGGAGAGTTGAAAATCCGGGAAAGTAGGGTTATTGAATATTATCGCAGCCAGCAACCACGTAATTCCGCCCTACTTACGCATAGCTAACCTAACCTAACCTAAAATACTTAAATATTATGACAAAGCTACGATTCCAATATTAATTTAATACGATAAGCATGAAGTCTAACCGGGACGGCGTGAAATACATAGTGAAAACTTTTCATTTCTGCCGTATACAGCGCTGTGGTCGGAATTTTTTATAATCTGAAATGCACCAAGACTATAGAGAAATGTGAAAGTTTTCGCTATTCCGATTAGGCACAAGAAAAATATTTTATTTGTGTGGTAGACAATTCAGTATTAAAACTAAAAGAATGTCGAACTTCCATTGGTTTTATTTATTTTTATTTGCACAACATTTCGGTCAGATGTACCACTGACCATTATTAATAGCGTAAACTTAAATTGGATACGAATCTAGATACCAAGATTTTCTAACCAAGACCAGATTTTCTAACCAAGACAAGATTTTCTACCAAAATTTTCTAACCAATTGTCCAGATACCATTAAACCATAGTAGAAGGAAAAGAGTAGTTGCACTCTCCCAAATATATTCTGCCTAAAAACTGGCAGATCGCTCTGCAATCTGTCGAATATCGGCAGATTGCAGAGCGTTTCAGTTGAGTTCCGTCCGTCGACCTGCTAGGTTCGAGCGTTGCGTGTTGCGTCCCAGTACAGAGACGGATTGACAAAAAATGAGTGCCTTACTATGTGCTGCTATTGATTGTAGTAATAATTCAAAAAATTGTGCTTTGAGTTTTTTTTTGAGAGTCATTTATGATCATGTTTGTGTTCAGGTTAATTTTCTCATGACTGATTACTACTTAATAATTTGATATTATTTTCATTTAAACCTTAATTTTTTATCGATTTTACTTTCGACAACCATCTCTTGCTTGCTGTTGAACGAACTGCACCACCATTAACAAAAATTTGCTAGTACCGAAAGTACCGAAAAAAACTGGAAATCCCGGTTCCTTAGAAGCATGGTACCGACATTACCAGTTCCGAAAAACAGCTCTGGTAGCGGAAACGCTATAACGTACCATAACCGTGAATCTCCCTATAGAGGGTGAGCCTTAAATAAGTGTAACTATTTTTAGGGATAGTACGAGTATATTTTGGCCCCAGAAATATGATGATTTTTCTGCGCAATTTTTTTTTTGAAAAAAATATTCTTTTATTACGTGAGAAAGTAGTGTGATGCTATTTCTCATTGTTCTTGCTTCTTTTCTCTTTTGAAATTTCTGTAATGTTTATTAGCAATTATTGAAGTTTAAATATGTTACATTTTATTATTTAGTACAATGTGTTGCTCAATGTATTAGTTATTCAATGAAAGTCACCTAACCAATTTATTACTACAAAAGAAACACATTAATGTAAAAATTAAACTTGTTTTAAATTAAAAAAAAAGTTGTAGAAAATCTTTGAAATAGATAATAATATAAAAATATGTCATTATATATTTTACGTTACTTACACGAAATGTGAAAATATTCTGTTTTCAAGCAAATCTTTACCCGATGATCAATTTTTTTTATTTTATTTTATTGTGAAGTCATATTTTCCTAAATACATCTCTGTGAAACTATGGCGGGTAACATTATACTTTGCCTAGTTATAGACCACGAATATACAGCTAGGTCAGTGGTCACGGGACGCGAGAACAAGGTCATATAAAGTGGCAGAAAAAGAAAGGATTTGACAAGGAGTAAAGCTACTAGTTTCCTTATACTATGATTAAACCGCATCGTAAGTTCGACCACCCTGTATATATTTAATAAACTGTTAGAAAATAGGTATTATTCTTTTATTAGTTGTATACTATCTATCTAAACCGAATGGAAATATAATTTATATTCAAATTTATTCATTTTATATTTTGTCTTTCTATTTAAAAGCCTCATCGTCTAAGGACCATTTAATCTATTCAACTCGACATAATTATACCAAGGCACTTTTTTAATTAAATTTATTCTCTTGTAACATTTAAAAAGATTTAAATTTTACTCTTTATGCTCTGGCACACAAACTGTACATTTATTTAACTTTTTTTCTAATTACTTTTACTTGTTCTGTGATAATCGTTCTAAGGAGAAAAAAGAAAACAGAGATAATGTAAAATTTTTTACTAGGTCAAACATTTTGTGCTTTATAAAATACTTAAGACCAAACCTGTTAGATTTAGATTAAACTTGCTAATATCTATAAGGGATCCCCGGTCGTTTATTGTATTAAGATAACAAAAGAAAACAAACAATTTGAATTTTATTTTTTGTTAATTCAGTAGCAATATTCCTACCAGATGGCAATAGAAAAATATAATAAAAATATGGATAGCAGTATGTGCCCCAGGCGTATAGCATAATCCGGGTTTAACAAAAGAAGGAATTTTTATAGAGTCTCTCTATTTTCATTCCCTTTGCAAAAAACCTAATCAGAATTAGTCATATTACACAATGACGATATTTCCTGTACATTTCTGCAAAAAGACTGTCTATTTTTAGTCATTTTACAAAATGCCAAGTCGAAGCCAGGCAGATAAAAAATGATCAAAGTTTAGTCAGCTATGAGCATAGGCATATTGAATAGTTTGCGCTTTAGTAAATATATCACATATTTTACTATAGAAAACCAATATTTTGTTTAAACGAAAACAACTTGGACTATAAATTATACTTATAAGTAACATAAGTTTAAATACACAGTAAATTAATTACTTAATATTAATACTCATTTAATTATTATACTTGGTAATTCTATTCTGTGTCCAGGACTTTGATATCTTTGTGAAACTTTGCTATCTTTTAGAATAAAATGAATTTAGTTCTTTACAATAATAATCCTAATCCAATTTTTTATTATCACAATCATCACTCTTTTGTACTATTATTTCCTAATTTTGAAATTTTGAAAGAGAAGTGCAACAAATGTTTCTTGGATAAATTTAGGTTAGTTATACCAATCCCGCGTAAAATATTTTATGCACACACACAATCTGACTAGTATCCATTATTCATTAAGCATTTTGAACAATGACTTAAAAGAAGCTGTAATTTACTTACAGCAAATATCATAATTGTTTAGTATGTCTAATTCTGATTAGACATTTTGAAAAGTGACTTAAAACAGATAGGCACTTTGTAAAATTTTCTTCTTTTCTTTAAAATGTCGGCGTTTTAATTGGATAGTCTTTTTGCAAAATGCCAAATTAGGCGCTATTATAGGCACGATTCTCACGTACGTTATAGTGAGAATCGTGCCTTATTCGATACTCCTAGGACATATTATGTATAGCAATGTTTTGTATTGTAGTATTATTTACTTATTACCTTTTTATTTCCTTAGTGTTGTCCCCTAGAAAAAACCTTGTACAAAATTTTGTCGATCAAAATAAGCAATAAGTTTTTTTTGTTAATATGTGTTGATTTCCTGTTAATATTAAAATTCAAAAATACCTTCTACTAAAATATTTATTAAATATGCGTCTGAAATATCATATAAAACAATTTACATAACATTTCAAAAAATATTTTTCAGTGTTTAATACGCTTGCAAGTATTTAAAAATATCGAAGAAAATATATTTCTAATTATTATGTATATTTTGGACCATATATAAATTATTTACATGTTTTATCAATATACTCAGTTTTGAAAAGTTTTTAATAGTACAATTAATTTTCTAATATTTATCTTCAAAATTAATACATTTAGAAGTGCATCTACAATTACTGGTCATATTTGTTCAATAAAATACACCAATATACAATGGAGTAGTAAGATATTTAGCTCCAAGTCGTTCCAATGCCTAATAGCATCGTATAATAAACCTGTTAAAGTGAAGATCTTAAAATTTGTAACTATGCAAAACTTGGAAACGTTGCATAGTTACAAATTTGGCAGTTAGAAACAGTTTGCGACCACATTATATCTGCAAAATGCGCTATAATCATAA